CTTTCCCTATTTTTCCCTCTGCCATAAGTAACTTTTTTGTGTGTTCCTATGGTATGCAAGAGGATGTGGGAGATGGAGGGGAAGGAAGTGTGTGTGGTCAGCATTATAGAGTGTTGCCTACTGCATCTTCCCTGTGAGAGGCCTTGGTGCCACAGGTAGAACTTGTGTGTTTGCATGGTTTAGGCTAAAAACTGCAGCAGGTTGTGGAAAGTCTGCCTTTGCTCTGAGCAGAGCCCAGAGCCTCTGCAGCTCTAGGGAGCCTTTGGATGTATGTAGGTCTGTGCAGCTGCTGAATTCTGCTCCAGAGTATCTTCAATGACTTGTAATCAGCGATTTTTGATCTGCTCCTTTCCAGAAGGCTTGTCAGGTTGGTCTCAGCCTGTCATGGGAAATCATCCAATGCATCAGCAGCTGTCAGACCCAGGCACATTTTCTCAGCATCAGCCAATGGAGAGAGATGATTCTGGAATAGTGGCTCCCTCAAATATTTTCCACCAACCTATGCCAAATAGTTTTGTGGATTTTTCTAAAGTAAGTTACAGAGATGTTGGATTTAGCCTATAAAATAACCAAAGACTTTTTATTCCTTGTTCTGCTTATTTACACTGTATGTGCGTGTCTCTTCCACCATTGCCTGCTGCACCAAGTCCTGAACCTCATTTCATCCCAGTACAGACTAGAAAAGGTGCCCAAATTTGGTGATGCATTTAAACAAAAGGAGAATTTGTAGATTGCAGATGTCCTCTTGACAAGTAGCTGAATGCCTCCAGTTGCTCTCCAGTGTTTCCTTTCTCAGAGGCTCAGTTGTCCTGAAAGGTTTAATAAAGTTTGCTCAGCTCGAAGCTCATTAAAAGTGCTTAATGCCCTTGGTACAAATCGCACCCATCAGCATGACGTGCCTTTCTTAAGGAGGTGGCAGGATGAGAGTACCTGGTAGGTCTGTGCCCTGTATGTTGACACTGGCAAGTAGCTTGAAGCAGACAGATGTAGCCAAGCCATGGTCAGCTCAAGCACCACTGGAGGAATGACCAGGATGTTGTGCTCAACAGCAGACCAGTTTGTTTCAGAAGTGCCTGTAGCACATGCTCTTGGGATCTTCTGAATTGCAGAGCAGCAGTCACTCAAACACAATGGTCATCCTTCACAGCTGCTGCCTTCTTCACCAGCTGTGCTTTCTTTTGGCCCTGCAGGGCCTGCCGATCTCCATGTATGGCGGCACTCTAATCCCCTCGCACCCTCAGCTGGCAGATGGGCCCGGAGGCCCCCTCTTTAATGGGCTCCATACTCCAGATCCCGCCTGGAATCCCATGATCAAAGTTGTCCAGAACTCAACAGAATGTACTGATGCTCAGCAGGTAGTATGGCTGCCTTTTTCCACCTTCCTTACCTGGGGCTTCTTACAGTGTTTGGGTTTCATTATGTTTGGATATGTGACTTTTTTTTCAATTCTTAGATACTGGAATTGAGATTGATTGCATGACTTTTCCCCTACAGTGTGTGTGTGTTCATGGAAAAAAATGTATGGCACTATGTGTACCAAACCTTCCAGGTAAAATAAGCATTTCAAGACTGCTCAGCCAAGCTGACTTTGGTTTTGCTCAGCCAAGTTGACCAAGACTTTTTTTGAAAGTGAGAGGGTTTATATCCATACCCAGCATCTTGCAGTTGTCAGTCAAAGTTTGGCCAGAGCTGAAGAAGACTCCCAGCGTTTGGACAGCGTGGTTGTCTTTTAGGGGCAAGCATTAAGCTTGTGCTCTAGTGGTTAAATGCTCTGTTAAAGGAACCTTGATCTGTTTTTGTAATAGATTTGTCTTTTTATTTCTCACTGTAGATTTGGCCTGGCACCTGGGCACCTCACATTGGAAACATGCATCTCAAGTACGTCAACTGATTTAAAGGGGTCTATCCTTTTTTAGCCTTGTTTGGGAATCTTTATGATCTTGAAGAACCCTGGGGATTTTTTTAATGTGCCTAACTAAGCAATTTTGTCTGGGCTGTAACAATGGAATCTCAATTGCCCGTTGTATAAGAACAAATTGATTTACCTATACAGACTGATTCTGTTATCTGGTTGGTTTAGCCATTTTGAACTTAAAAATCAGATTAAACTAGTGCTTCTGGCTAAACACTACTGAACGCTCCTTGTATGCAGCACAGAACTAGCTGATGATGTGATTTCAACCTTGTAGGTGGTAAATACATGTATAATTGTTTACATACTTAAAAGGAGAAGCTGAGTAAATTCCATGTCATATAGTGGCTCTACTTTACGTAGCCTGTATCAATGTGAACTATTTACCGGAATATTCAATAAAAGGCAAACAGTATTTATAGGTTGTGTGTGAAAATTGTGGAAGAGGCTATATGTTGTCATGTGATGCATTTTTTTTTTCAAGGTCACGTATTAGGACATGGATGCAGTTAGGGTTTGGGGGAGGGCTTTGAGCTGTGATATGAGGTGTGCTGAGTCTGCCCCCCTGCCAGTTGTTAGCCTTTTATTTTTTGTGCGTGTGAACATGGTTGTGCCTTTTTTTTTTTTTCTCTCTCCCCCCTTCTGTGTTAACTCTTTCCAGGCGAGTTGTCTGAGAGATCAGGTTTTTTTCAGGAGCTGGAAATAAGGGCTGTTGTCAGTGTGGCACCTGATGGCTTCTTAATTTGCAGAAGGGAAATAAGTAGCTCATAGGTAAATGCAGGATTTCTTCCCCAGACTCGTTGTGATCAGCTGCCTAGAAGCAGAGACCACTTCCCACTAGAGAAAAACGACATATATTAAATTCTAAGCTTCTTCTAACCCCTTGAAATATGCTAAGAACTCAAGTCCTTCCTATGAGGAAGAAGGGGATTTTTGCATACTGTTTAAAATGAGGGTTCATTCCCTACCCAGATGCAGAAGTTCTCCAATTTTTGCACATGGACCATGCTTATTTCTGCTTTTGCTCAGTGGTGATGCAGTAACTATAGTGAATATTTAGTCCATTCCTCAAGCAAGTAACTACAGTGCACATAGCATTCAATCTAACAGACCATTTTTGGTGGTCTCTCAAAGCAGATGAAGACTTCTCCACTTTCTCCAGACACAATGCTTGCATGCAGCAACAGTTTCCCCAGGAAAAAGCATGAGGAAAAACCCAAAGTGCACAAGTGATAGCAGAGTACCACAGGCAAATAAACCTCAGAAATGCTACTGGATGATATATTCAGATCTTTTTCCTGGTATTTGAGGATTGCTTCTGCCCCTCAGTAGAGCAGACACCACAGGAAAAACACTAAATATTCAGCAGTAATTGTATTGAAAACTGGTGGTGTACTGCAAGATGTGTTTGCCCTTGGGGCCAATTGAAGGGGCAGGGTGGAGACACCATGTTCTCACCCATGTGGGCTCCATGACTGCCACAGGCACGGCCACCTCCTCCTGCCCCATCCCAGGGAGCTGCTATCTCCCTATCCTGGAGGGCTACAGCTCCACACTGGGTGGCACTATCTACTCCAGCATGCCAGGGTGTAAGATCCAGCATGGGGATGGGGTCGTCCCTTGAATGGAAAGGTGGCCTCAGCTACCCCATCCCTTCCTAATTTAGGCATCTCCTTCCTGATCAGGTCCCTTCCTGGGCTCTCCACCTTGCAGCTTGGTCCCTGGGGCCATGGTCGCCTGCTCTGGGCACCAGATCCAGACAGGCCCCTTGGGGTGGTGGCTTCCCTGGCAGCCCAGAGCTGAAGTGGAAGAGGGAACCCCAAAGCTTTGTAGGAAGACGCTGCCAGAAGTTAAGGCCATCATTGCCCCACAGTTTGGGGTGGAGCAGGCAAAATGTGGTGCCTGTGCCACTGGGGGCTGCTGGCACTGTGGGGGTAGTGGGTGCAGCACTGGCCCTTCAGGGGTAGGTCACGTCTGGGCATGGCTCGCTGGAACTGGGGGAGGTGCGGGGGGTAGCACGAGAAGTCTGCTCCTGCCCGAGTTCACCAGCCCCAAGGGAAGGTGCTGAGGCAGCACAGCTCCCTCCAGGGGCACCCCAGGCCTGCCCTTGTCCCCCCCTTCCAGCCGCATGCTGAAGCACTCTGTTGAGCTGTGGGGCAGCTCCTGTCCTTTGTGGGCTGTCTGCAGGGCAGCGCGCACCCAGCCCTGAGGTGGGCGTTTCGGCCGAGCCGCAGGCACACGCCCTGGTGAGTGCCTCTGAAAAACTCATCTGGGGCTGGGGAGCTGGCCGGTGTGGCACTGGGAAGTGCCTGCTCTGCACAGGTGCTCCCAGCTCACTGTGGAGTCTGGTGGGGATCAGCCACCTCCGGGCAGGGTGCGCTGGGAACCTACCTGCTGCCCAACTCTTGGGCCGAGTGACCCAGGGCTGGCCCTGCCTTCTGGCCAGCATAGGAGGCAGCTGCCACAGGGCACCTGCTTCAAGAGGGGGGACCCCGAGTGCTGTACCCTGTCAGAGCTCCAGGACCCTCAAGGGGAGGAACCGTGTGGGGAAGAGCTGCTGGGACAGATGGGTGTCACAGTCGGCCATGTGGGAAGGGCCACAGGTGCTTGGAGATGGGGGCAGCCAGGGGCCAACAGTTCCTGACACCCCCCCTGCTTTTGGCAGGTACCCGCATCATCTACGACCACAAGTTCCTGCTGGAGGGCAAGAATTCACCCGTGGCCAGGACCCCTCCCTGCTTCCTGCCCCAGATCCCAGGTGTCACATCCCTGGCCCAGTCCAGCCTCGTCAAGCTGGAGGAGCTCAAGGAGCAGAATGAGAGTGAAGAAGCCATGCCAGGTGAGCAGCCCAGGGCCACAGCCCTGCCTACACACTACCTGGGGCACAGGGTCCTGCCGAGCCGTAAGACCAAGGGAAGATCTCGGGTCAGCCTTGGCTCCATCTCTTGACCCCTTCGCCTCCACGTTTCTCCCAGGGCAGCTGCCTGCTAATTCTGGCCCCATGTTCCTCCATACCCTTGCAGATCAATACCAGTTTGAGATGGACATCTGAGTTTCCAGCTCCCCATCTCCAGGCCATGGCTGGGCCTGTTCCTGGGCCTTGTGGAGGTGCTGGCACCGTGACCAGCTGGATGCAGCCCTCTCTGATGCTGGGGATGGACGTGACACCTCAGGTTCTAGCACAACTGGCTGGTGCAATTGCCTAGGAGCTCATGCTTGATCAATAAACACCATGAAACTCTGTGCTGATCTGGTGCATCTCTATGTTGGGGCTCAGTTGGGTTCTTGGAGCACCAGGAAGGGGAGCTAAGAGGAGCTGAGCCAACACCAGGAGCCCTTCGAGGGTGCAGGGGACCTCCTCCTGCACGGAGACCTTGCAGGCGGCGAATGCCAGGCCTTGGTGTCTGCTCTCAGCCTCGGGAGGGAGCACCACAATGCAGCCCTCTTGCTGTCCAGGGTAAATGTTAACACCCTGGGTTTACCTGACCTGGTGGGCATCATTAGCACCATGATGTTTCTCCCTAGATCTTCCTGTTGCTGAGGCCACCCAGGTCTCTTGGGTCCCAGACTTGAGTCTGAGCTGTGCCAGAAGAGGCAGGAGCCCAGATGGGAGCATAGGCTGTAGCTGCAGCACAAACCCCAGCCATGCCAGGCTTCGGGCTGGTTGAAGGTCAGCCTCCCCAGCAAGCCTAGAACTCCTCAGGGGCCGTCTCTTGCAGCAGAGCTGGGCCTCGTGCCTGCTGCTGTGGCCTGAACGGCCACAGGCAAGGCCAGAAGGGGCCATGCTTTGCTGACTGGTGCAGCAGGGAAACGTTGCTGCCTGCTGGACCTTGGTGACGCTAGGGATGCTGCCAGGGGCACATTCCTTCCCTTCGTGCCTTCTGGGCTGGGACCATTCTACCACAGTGAGAACCCCTTGGCCAAACCTGAAGCTCCCCAGGCTTTGCCCAGCAGTCCTGTCTCCTGCTGCTCCTGGCAGGGAACCGAAACCCTGGAGCATGGGCTCTGGCCAGGGGTAGGTTAGAGCTGTTTATTAAACATCATGTAGTGAATCACCATTAAATGTCACAATGATTAAAATCCCCTTTCTTGGGTAAGAAGTGTGAGGCAGAGGCGGTGCCCGAACCCCCTCAGGCAGCGGAAACCCTTCGGCGGTGGCCCTGGGCACTAGCTGCCCTGCTCACAGTCTGCAGACCTGTCCCTGGCATCAAAGAGGCCCTCCGGGCCAGGGCCAGCCTCGGCGCTGCCATCC